CTGGCTCAAGTCATTCCTCCAGTTCTAGAGAAGGATCTAGTCCAGGTAGGTCCTCTGGATCTAGAAAACATGGGTCTGGCTCAGGTCAATCCTCTAGCTCTAGACAACATGGGTCTGGCTCAGGTCATTCCTCTGGTTCTAGAGAAGGGTCCAGCTCAGGTCATTCAGCTGGTGCTGGCCAACATGAGTCTGGATCAGGAAAACATGAATCTGGCTCAGGACAATCCTCTGGCTCTAGAAAACATAGGTCTGGCTCAGGTCATTCCTCTAGTTCTAGAGAAGGTTCTAGCCCAGGTCAGTCCTCTGGATCTAGACAACACAGATCTGGCTCAGGTCACTGCTCTGGTTCTAGAGAAGGTTCTAGCTCAGGTCAGTCCTCTGGTGCTGGCCAACGTGAGTCTGGATCAGGTAAACATAAATCTGGCTCAGAAAAATCCTCTGGCTCTACTAGCTCTAAACAACACGTATCTGGCTCAGGTCAATTCTCTGGCCATAGCCAGTCTGGCTCAGGTCAGCCTTTTGGCTCTGAAAAACATAGGTTTGGTCAAGGTCAGAACTCTGGTGCCAGCCAACATGGATCTGAGTTAGGTCAAAATGAATCTGGATTAAGTCAGTCTTCTGGTTCTGGACATACCAGGTCAGGCTCAGGTCAGTCTTCTGGTGTCAGCCAACAGGTGTCTGGTTCAGAACACCATGTACCTAGTTCAGGTCAGTCCACTAAAAAACATGGGTCTGGCATAGGTCAATCCTGCGGCCATGGCCAAAATGTATCAAGCTCAGGTCAGTCCACAGCTTCTAGAAAACAAAGTTCTGGTACAGGACAGTCTTTTGGTATTGACAAAGAAGGGTGTGGTTCAAGTGAGTCCTCTGGTATTGCACAAAAAGGATTAAGCTCAAATCAGTCATCTGGGACTGGACAAAAGCAATTTCACTCTGGTAAAACTTCTGGAACTAGACAACATCAATCAAATACAGGAAAGTTATCTGAACCTGATCAACAGGAGATAGGCTCAGGACAATCCACTAGTGATAGACAAAATGAACCGAGTACAGGAAATTCAAATTTTGGCCAATCTGGCTGTAGCTCAAGTCAATCCCTGAGAGATAGCCCAAATAGTATTACATCAAGTCAGCCGACAAAAAGAGGACATAATAGGAAAAGAGACACAAGACAATCTGACTCAACTCATGGACAAAACACAAATTTAGGAACAACTGCAACTGGAAAGAACAAATTCAGTCATAATGACTCCAGTGACAGTGAGGGCCATTCTGGAGATTCAGAGACATACTCAAGGTCCCCCCAAGGACATGCAGGAGACTATCAGGGAGAGTCAGCATCGACAGGTAGGGCCACACAAGGAAAGATTCATGGACAATCAGGAGATAGAACTAGACATTCTCATGCTCCTCAGGGACAGAAGCCACTTTCAGGGTCCACTTCAAGAGGAAGGAGCGCATCCAGTCACAGCGAGTGCAGCGACAGTGAGGGCCACTCTGGAGCCTCACAGACACACTCAGGGTCCACCCATGGCCATGCAGGTGCTCATCAGGGAGCGTCGGCATCGACAGGTAGCGGCAGACAGGGAAGCACTCACGGGCAGTC